ATTGGTAATAATTGGATGAACGGTTTCAGAGTTATTTCCCTTGACTTAGTAAAAACGCATCAAATTTGGCTCGCAGGCACGATAGAGACTACAGGTTTTATCCAATCTTGATGAAACTAGTTAGTAATAATCAGATGAACAGTTTCAGAGTTATTGCAATTGTGTGTACAGCAATGAGACATTATTCATGTTTGAATTTAATGTTAATTTGCTGAACTGTTTCAGGTTTTTGCCTTGACTTATAGATGATTTTAAGATTTTTTGAAAATTATTATTAAGCCTCTAAAGATTTTGTTATCATTCTGACAACTGGTAGTGGGTATAGGTAACCTTGCCTGGCAAGCTACTTATCTGTTTAATATCACTTAAAAATTTGCACCTTAAATTGATTTAAAAAATGTCCTTAATATAAACAATTTTCTTATCAAGGTGAAAGCGAAATTTCATATGTGTCTCCACATATATATTTATTGTATGCAAGTTATAACCAGTTATATTTGTCATCTTGTGAAATTTTGCACGATTGATTTGTCATATAGAAGATTGTCTCCATTTTAAGTTTCTTGTGATGTTAATTGACCTTCTCATCAATCAATGGTTATTACAATATTCAGATCAAAATATGATTTATTATACAATAGTAGGTTATGTCTTCAAATTAACGAAAGTTTATGTTTGTTGTTGTGAATTGCTATCTTTATTATGTTGGTAATAGTAGAAGTTTTATGTTATTGGATTATGTTTGGAATAGTAAGGGTCTTATGTTATTGGATGCTTGGATTATGTTGGACATTGTAGAGAGTTGATGTTATAGTGAGTTACTATTTTAATGCTTTAATTATGTTGGACATAATTGAGTGTTGAGTATTTTTATTATTTGGTGCTTGGATAATGTTGGAAATAGTAGAGTGTTAATATTATTTGGTGCTTGGATTATGTTGGAAATAGTAGAGTATTTATATTATTTGGTGCTTGAATTATGTTGGAAATAGTAGAGGGTTTATATTATTTGGTGCTTGGATTATGTTGGAAATAGTAGATGGTTTACATTATTTTGTGTTTGGATTCTGTTGGAAATAGTAGAGGGTTTATGTTATTTGGTGCTTGGATTATGTTGGAAATAGTAGAGGGTTTATGTTATTTGGTGCTTGGATTATGTTGGAAATAGTAGACGGTTTACATTATTTGGTGTTTGGATTATGTTGGAAATAGTAGAGGGTTTATGTTATTTGGTGTTTGGATTATGTTGGATATAGTAGAGGGTTTATATTATCAGATTAAAATTGTCAGTGTTTTTTCTAAAATTTTACTAATATCAGCATGTTTTATTGTGTCTGAAAGTTTGCCAATACTCCTGCAGCAGAAACTATAAACAATGGATTGTCTGTAGATTTTATAAATAAACCAGACTATGGGAAGACATTGAATAATAATACTATAAAGTAGAGAACGAATGGTTTCTCAGATTTTATTTGATACAAATTATAAACAGACATTGCAATTTTGCAGTTTTATAATTAGAGCTATCTAATATTTCCAGGTTTATATAGTTTACAGTTAGAAACTTGGAGTATTTTTTGAAGTCTTATTTTTTGTCTCTGATTGAACGTTAAAAATGTGATGATTTTATTTATAGAAAAATTGTCTCAGTTTAGTTTCACAAATAGGGGCATCTTCACAAGGTCAATGTATTACGTCTTTATCTTATACCTTGACTGCAATAGACCACTTTCTTGTTTCATGGAATTTGATTATATTTTTGCTAGCAAATTCAGCCAATCTGAGTCACTGACTGAAAGATTATTTGAAATGGTTATACATGTATTTGCTGGCATACAAGCCAATCAAACTGTTGACTGTGAAACAAAGTAGGCCATTGCTGTCAAGGTATAAGATGAAGATATAACACCTTGACCATTGTGATGAGGCTCCGATTTACGTTACGATTGGCAGATCTGTAAGGAAAGGGAGAATCATAAAATACAGGAGGTTGTGAATCATGAAATACAGGAGGCTGGAAATTCCATTCCATTAGCTCAATGATGAGCAATAAAGTAGGAGGTGGAACTTTCAATGCAATTTACATATTATCTTGATAATTATGACAGAAAGATGTGATATTCACCTTAAAATGTGTAACAAAGTGTTTGTAGGTAGAGACAGGAAGTGACATGGTTAATCCTCTTGATAAAAACATGTAATCTTTGTTTAAAACAGTGGTTTACAGTGTGATTAGTTTATATTTTGTGAAGTTAGTGGTTAGGTTAGTTTGACATTGATATTTCTTTATTTTTGTTACTTAACCATTTGAATTATTTACTAATTTCTTTAATTTTGTTCTTTAGAATTGGTAGAGAACAAGTTTAATAATTTAGAATTCTGTTCTGGCAACATCAATCAATAACTAACAGTACCTCCTGATTGACATCAGCTGGACTGGTTCTTTTCAGTCCTAGAAAGTCATGTTGAAACCCTATAATCAGTGCAATATGGGGCCAAGATAATAAGGACTGTTATAATGCCTTCAGGCAGAACTGATATTGAACGTTTAGCATCACTTAGGGATTATTATAAAGATTTATTTCTGTATTTTGTTGGTATTCAACATTGTGAGATGGTAGCAGAAGTTGGATCTTTTCAATTTATATTAAATCCATCTCTTGAGTCAGCTGATATCTTTGGATATGTTGAGATGGAGTTATCTATTGTGTGTTCAGACAATGCAGATGTTATGACAATAGGATGACAGAAAATGAAATGACCATCCTTGTTGTCCAATTTGGTATTGATCTCAGAATTCAGGTCACTTTCTGTATTAATATGTCAGTGTTAATTATTGACCGGGCATTATAAGTCTGATATTGCCCTGCTGGGATAATTTATCTCTAGTTATTGTAGTTGTATAATCCCTGGATTAGTTCTCAATACTCATGCTGAATAGTAACCATTTGTACACAGCAGATTTTCACTGATAGGTTGCTTGGTCAATGACAGTTTGTTGTGTGAAATTTTGGACTTGAAAATTGATTTATATATTTTCATACAGGAATATATTGAATCCAGTGCCAGTCCATTATAGGGTCAGCTGGTCAAAATGCCAGCTAATACTTATATTTTATTGATTGATCCAAAATTGTCATTAACCATATTTTTTCTGATTGTGTTAGGATTTTGAATCCAGGGTCAGTGTATTTGTGCCTCATTGACTGTTGTCAATTACTGATATGTTTGTTGATTGAGTTATAATGTTCTAGTTGAGTTTGTAGTTGATATTTGATGTGTCTGTTGTATACTGAAGGATTTAAGTGTTTTAGATAGAATGTGTGTTGTACAGAGTGGTTCACATATTTCATTTTTTCCTACCTTCAAGTAGAAAAATAGTGTGTCATTTGGAAAGGAAACTGGATAGCAATTGTTTTGTTTTTGAACTTTTTTTTATAAATAAAGTTTGTGTTATTGCTTTATGAAATGTATTGAGTTTTGAGGACTTTGCATTGCTAGGACATTTTATTCTATCAAAGTTGAAACTTTTGTGAAACAAGGAGGGTCATTCGTGCTTTATGCCTTAAAGTTATATAGTCATTTAGCTGATGATACATCTCAATTCAAGCTGTTAATATCATACTTCAGAATTTATAGTCTATGTCTTGATCAATTGAAGAAAAACCAGAACTCTTTAAGAAGATAAGGCAAATATTTGGAAGATTATATCCCTTTTTGGTTCCTGTGCCTTTATTATTTATTACACTATTGAATCAATTGAAATATTTGCAGATTTAGAAAGAGATATTAAATGGAAATCTAAGTAGTTCGTAACAGACTGCAACTGACTTTAATTATTCGAAAAATATGACACTGACACATTGAAATGATTAAAATGCATTGAAGTCATTAATATTGTATATTCTAGTATTGAGTAATCTAGTAGAAAGAATTTTTAAAACTAATAACAACATACTGGACTGTAATAAAGCTGGATATTAAAGTGATATAGTAATATTAATTTAGGAGGTGACTGTGCTGACTCTTCAGATGTGGAATTAAAGTGTAAAATGGATCTAAGAATGATAAACTGAATATCAGAACAAGTTGAAACCTGTTTAAGATGTTATAAAAGTAAAGAATGATAGTACAGAATATTGTTAAAAGATGGATTATGTGGCTGATGATGGAATATTGTATAGAAATAAATAATTTTGAATATTCAAGGATTGTTTGTAAATTCCAGAATAGTATATAAAATAAAAACTGCAGTGGAGTAAAAACTATATTCTTTGATTTATCAATGTACCAGTTGAACTATTTTTTGTTTTATAGAAATAGCTTGTGAAGGACAATTTATTTACCATATTCTGACACTTGACTTCCGTATCACTTCATTGGATGTGTTGTTTCATTACCAAGTGTGATGTGACAAGGACAAAAATAAACCGAATACTTTTTAAATATTGAGATTTATAGATAGATTTCATTAATATTTGTTGAATTGTGACATTACGCGGTAAAATTTGTTTACAGCATTAAATAGAAAACAATAGACCAAACTATAAATTGAGATTTTTTAAAGATTTTTTTCTTAACTTCGTCATATGACTCCTTGTCATCGTAAACTATTTTCGTTGAATTTTTTTCAAAGTTAATTCTGTTATGATTGGATGAAACTTTGATAATTGTTAACAACGATTAAGTGATTGAAATTTTTTGCATTTATCAAGTCTGTTCTGATTGGATAAGAATGACTCGTGACGTAACATCCTGTCAAAATAAACATTGACCATGGGATAGAAAATTAATTTTTTTGCTGGAGTGTTAATGATTGGATAAAAAGTAGTCATGTGACTTAAATTTACTGTAATCAGGATGATCATGTGACATAACATTATCTTTTTGGTCCAATTTCATCAAGTCTGTTCTGATTGGATAAAAATTAGTCATGTGATTAAAGGGTGGAAGTTTGTCAAGGGGGATAATCAATGTCGATCTGGGACCAGCTGATGAAAATGACTGATCGGTGTTTTTGGTGTTTTGGAATGCCGGCACCAGTTGAACGAACCAGCAGAACGACACAAACGATTCAAGCGCCTCGTCCCCGACGGCAACAGACACGACCTCATTTTCAAAGTGTAAGAATACAAGCAGCGCCACCTACTGAAACTACGCCATTAAAAGGAATACTTAAAAAACCCAATTCCCATGTCAGGTCACGACGACCTCATGGATATCAACTTCTTCTGCACCAGGTAATGAATCTCCTTATTTGGTGTTTTTTTGTATCTGATGCATGCCATTAACAACCTTTTCATCAATCTTCAAAATATAATAATGAAGCTCATCAGTTTTCACTATACTCTAGTTTTTTGCTGTCGTTTCCTGAATGCTGAGAGAATTAGAACTGTCACTAGTTTCTTGCTTGTTAGTTCTTATTTTATACTGTATAGAAAACATTGAGGTAATTGCTATGTACAGGAATTATAGTGGCTCACCTTTCTCCAACACTTACAGCTTAAAAGCACCAAGCTGTGGCCCATTAGACAATTAGAAATATTGAAGGAGTAAGTTAATCCTAGTGTATTGGGAAAAAATTAAACTTTGGAAGTGTGTTTTATTTCCTGTCGGTTTTTATCAAATTGCCCTTAGTGCACATTGTATGGACAGTGCCTGAAGTAAGAAGAGAGATAGGAAAGATAGGATGAAAAAACTCCATTTAATTTGAGAACCATTAATACAGCTTTTGAGAACCATTAATACGGCTATCTGGGCCCGGTTCCTCAAAAAATCTCCCTGGTAGATTCTGTCCTTTGTATTTCTCAAATACCACTATCTAGAAAAATTCTTAATGATTTATGAGGAACGTGGCCTGGCAGAGCGCACTCTTAACAAGAAGATACGTCAAAAGAAAATCATAACAAAAATCAGCAACGATGTTGTGTTAATGAAGATGACTAATTAAAAGATCACTAAGATGCTAATTAGTCTCATGATATACAACATAGTAAATATTTACTCTATTACAACAACACAATTATCATCCACCCTTGCTACTAATCTCTACCTTATGTATCCCTTGTATCTTTATTTAGTGATGTATTCTGACTGGTGTATCTTTATATAGTGATGTATTCTGACTGATGTATCTTTATTTAGTGATGTATTCTGACAGGTGTTTCTTTATTTTGATGTATTCTGACTTTTGTATCTTTATTTAGTGATGTATTCTGAGTGGTGTTTAACCTAGGATCGGCTGGTAGACAGGATCATCTTAACTTGTAATTCTTGTATAATAATAGATATTTCTTTCTGTCGTCTCATTTCAACCCAAAAAAGAAACAGAAAAGTAAGATGTAAAACATAAAACTTACTACTTACAGATTTAATTATGTTAATAATTTAATTACAGAGTTCTGTCCCTTACTATATCAAAAGTTATTTGAACACTAATTTAAAGATGGGTTCCCTTATTTTCATTAATGAAAATGCTAATACTTATATGAATAGAAGTAGAGTTTTCTAGTGACTTGGAAAAATACCAGTTTGTATCACATGTACATAATTAATTCATAATTAGCTAAATTAGAAGAAAATTACCAGCAGAATTCCAATGTGTGGCCAATCAAGAAAGATCAGAATGTGCATACATGGACATTAATTTATGATTGGTTGAAAATTTTAATTATATGCAATAAGAACAAAATGATATGATTAAGAATACATGATAATTCATCAGAAACACCGAATAAATCAAATAGTTTGCTCGATTTGACACTTAAAAAATAAGGAAAACCATCTTTAAATAAAAACCGACTGGTTTTACAATGTGGTATGGTGGATTAGGGAATCTTTCAGTTACATTTCACTCTTTCTTTTCTTTCACTCCCATAAGAAAGTATATATGAGGGTTATGTGCAGTTACATGTTCTAGTGTATATTCTTTCATATATTCATATTCAATCATTATATATTATTTCACTATTGTATATTGCAATAGTAAAAAATGGGTTCAATTTCATACTATAATAAAGTAACATTCATTCATTCATTCAGGTGTGCAACTGTATAATATTACAACAGGTAAACCTGTGTTAGATTTCAAACCAGAGTAAAAACATATATTCAAGGTCTGAAAACAATAATTATATAATAAAGGTGTGCAACTCTTTTCTAACGTCTCTTGTGTTGTAGGCTATATATATTTGAATTTTGTTGATTGTCTTGTAGCTTCAGCTCTTAGACGTATTATATAAAGTCTGACATTGTATAGCACAAGACTTGACTAGTAAATACAGATAATTTACAGAATTGACTGATTTGATTTACCAAAATTGAATGCCGTTATCAAGTTCATAAGAAGCATCCTTGGAGCCAATACAATACCTCAGTTGGTGCCTTGTGAATTATCAGCTTTCTACCCTTTCCCACGATTAATATATGGACACAAAATTTGCCACTATGTCGAATAATGCAAATGCATAAAAATGTGCACATCTCTACCTGATATTTCTCAGCTAAAAATAGATTAGTTAAGGAAGCTAAAGGTATATTGAAGAATCTGTTTACTATGACATAACAGAAGGATAAACAAACAAACATAGTTCTCATCTCAGACAGGGGTTCTGCAAATCTTGCCAAATTTCTCTGAGTGCTAGACTATCAGGCTAGAATAATGTCTAGTTTACATTGTCTATATGATAGGAACTATTACAGACATTATGTGAGTACAGATTTCTCCTATTGTAACTTTAATCTTGGAGCTTTTGGTAGTGTGCTTATTTATGTTTCTTATTCAGTTGGAAAAAAAATAATAGAGTCATCTTAATGCCAAAGAAAAAATAAAAGGTTTTTTTGCCAGCATAGTCTTTGAGGAATTTGTTCACAACCTCTGATATGCATGAAAAAAAATCATGACAGCTAGTGTTGAAATAAGGGTTTACTTCTCAAAACTAGGACTCAAACTCTTTGAACAGGAGCTAGCAGTCATCAAGAATATTCTTCATTTTAAAGATTCTTTACTAAAACCTAAAATCTGTTTTGACTAAATAGTTCATTTCATGCTGCAGACATGTGTTCCTGATACAACATCTTTATAGCTGCTTTAATTTCATGGGCAAAGTGAACTCACTGAATAGGAGCAAGAATTAAACAACAATGAAATTATCTTCTTGTGTTGCTACCATGTATTAATGAAATGAAAGTACAAACATATAAAAGATTAACATGTTATTAAAGTTAATAAAAATACAATAACCTATCAATTGACCATGAATAAAATCATATCATGAATCAGCCTACAGTGACAACAGCTTGAACCAGCATTATTGCCCTTGTTAGTCTTTCTGGAATGTCATTGATTTTTTATTGTTTACATGTATATATATATGTTGTTTTATAATGTTATAATGTAAAGGCTAAATTTTGTTGTGCAATGTTATTGTACAGTCGACCAAAGATATTTGTGCAGATTCAAAACTTTTTTTTAAGGTAGTTTTAAGTAATGATGAAATATTTTTTCTGCCCTAAAGTGGACTATTTGTGTTTATGTTTTGAGAGGCAGGGCATATTTGCTCTTATCGGATCACTTGTTTTACTGGAATTTTGTGTGACACTCTTTTGTATAGTTTCAAAGATTTTCGACAGCTTTTGTAGATGTGCAAAGTTTTTCGTAATAGAGTTAAAAGCTCATATCTTTTTACCTCAGACATGCGACGCTCAAAATATTATTGTGTAGGTATTTGAAACTTTCTAGTACTTATTTTTACACTAAATATTATCCAGACGCATATTACAATCAGATTGTAACCAGACCCATTTCATCATTTTCCATTCAGTTTAATTAGAAACCTTCTACTAGTAGCTAGACTCAAATATCAATTTTCGATTTTCCGTGCCGTTTTAAGTATCCGATCTGACAGAAACCATTACATGTGATAAAGATAAATCAAGCATGAGGGGTTGAGTAATATTATGGGATAGATTGATATGCCAAACTTGCTGTTTTATGTTGTATGCATCAAGCTAAAGAATTTGAATCATTTAGTGAAAATCCACAATGACTCTAAATGACTCGGATGCCTATTTGTTAACCTGAGGGTCTAGAGTTTGATCCGGGCACAGGTGATACTTTCTGATTTTTCCACTCCAACAGTGATCTTTGTAGTAGAGGATGACATGGAAATGTGTTCAGTTATTTGGATGATACAATAAACTGAGGACCTCTGCACGTTTAAGATCCATTGACAGTTGGAAATCAAATAGAGTAAATTAATACCACTGTCTGCGCATAATTTCCCTCAGTGGAAATATTGTTGTCTGTCTTCATTAGCCCAGTTAGGAGTAGAATGGTCTGTTTCTTTTTTTTTCTGGATAACTTTGTCATGGCAGATTAAATTAAGTATTAGAGAATTAAAGGTATGCACAAACTATATTTTGTAATATCTGTTTGCCCTGCTGTATATATATATAGCATCTTTGTTATATTCTGGAGGACTGTTATCTTGGCAGATTGAATTAACCGTAGAATATGAAAGATTAGTGTATTGTTTCTGGTTATAGAAAAATCTTTAATTAAACATAACCAAACATACTTCACTGTTAACTGATGGTTTATATATAGATATTTCTGTTAGTCATTGGTTTTCAAAAATAAATATATTGTGTTCAAATTGGAATAACAAATTGTGCAATTGCAGTGGAAAAAACATCTTGAATTGGAAATATTTTATGTGAAAGATATTCAAATAATTTCTGACACTCATTTGTTTTCCAGGAATTGATATTATCTAATACAGAAGGAAAAATATAAAATTTTGTAATTTCTCCAGAATATATTGTGTATCAGAATTGAGGAGAAACATTTTTCTAAGGGAATGTTGAAAAACTATCAAACATTAGAATCTACATGCTACATTTTTTAAATTTCTTCAACAGCACTCCAATTTTGTGTAATAGAATAGGAAATATTCTGTTAAAATGACATTTTTAAACATTCTGGAACACTTTGTTGATATTTATGAACATTTTGTTGATTTCATGAATGTTGGTATTATGAACACTATGTTGACATTATAAACTCTTTGTTGATATCATGAACTCTTTGTTGATAATATGAACACTTTGTTGACAATAAGAACTAAGAACACTTTGTTGATATTATGAACACTTTGTTGATATTATGAACACTTTGTTGATAATATGAACACTTTGTTAGTATTTTGTAATAGTAATTTTGTGGAATAATGGAAATAGAAAGAAAATATTCCCTGTAAATTTATGAAATCTGAAGAGTTAAGATGAGGATTAAGAATACAAACATAAAGGTGCCTCTGTTATAAATAGATTAGTTCCTGTGAAACGACTGCTGACTTCAAATGCAAATGTCTGCTTTTATCAAACAATTTAAAAGATTTTTTTTATCTGCAGCAATCTATAGATATGACATGACTCTTTCAATTGAAACAACGTTATGATTTACTCAATTTGTTAATACAAAATACAACTGACTTTCTATATGTCACAAATCTGTCAGAAGAAAACAATTTCTGTCATCACTGGCCCAATCAGTTGCATGAAAATAGGATATAAAACTCCATACATTTTCACCTCTTGGATTTTGATTAATTTATTTCTTTGTCTTATTATAGGACCCGGAAGATAAGCGTGCAGCATTTATGGATTTATTGGCCAATCGCTATCCAGCGTACGCTGATAAAATCTACAGTGGTACAGGAACACAGAGCGAGATAGCATATCCTTTAAAGGTAAGACAAGCAATATTTTTTTACCAACATTTGTCTTATTTTGTACTGAAGAACCAAAAATAAGGGATTGCATACAAAATCAATTCAAATATAAAATAATTTTCAGTTATTGATTCTTAACATCTCATATTTTTTATCCCATTGTTAGAATACTTCCATATATATTGGTGATGAAAAATTCTCATTCATTCGCTCTATATATTAATTCATCTATAGCATCCTATACCCTTCCTCTGTAATATATTCAACTTGTGTATCATAGAAATAAAAAAACTCAATCATTCATAGAATCCTGAACATTTGTGTACACATAGACAATAAACCTCATTCATATATTAATCCATCATACTAAACCCCATTCATTCATTCATTCATTCATTCACATGATCAACCTATACCCCTATTGTGCTGAGTACTGTCCCTATTGTTATAATAATAATAGTTTTACACCTTTATTTCCTTGTGGACTCTATTAATTTCTACTTAACACATGTCTCTCTTTCATATTTTAAACGCTACTTGAGATCTTAAGGGACATTCAATACGGTTGTGGTGGTTGCTTTTACCTTTTTTTACTATAGTATAGCAAGGATAAAACTACAATCCCAATCAGTCAGTCCAAAAGTGATCCTTTATCATTCAAGATAAATATCATACTGGTAGCTACCTTGAATCAATTTAGATAGAAATAAATGACAAAGCAATCCTCTATCATTCATGATGGAAATAAATGACAATGCCATAGCAATCCTTGATTATTCAAGACTGAAATAAATGATATAGCAATCCTCTAACATTCATGATGGAAATAGATGACAATGCCATAGCAATCCTTGATTATTCCTGAAATCGGGGAAAAGCTATCTTGATCAATCAAGATGTTAATGAATAACATTTAACAATACATTGGCTTTCGTGGATCATTTAAAATGAAGAAAGGAAGAGTCCAATAGCCATTATGGATAATTCAATTTAAAAATATTGACAAAGCTTGGTTTTTGTTGAGAGTAAGCACTATCAGCTCAGTACATCATGGTCACGGTCTATCAGATGCTCACACCAATCTCTCACCAACCAACCAGCATCTTGACTGTGTTGCATTGTGTCAGTTGAGTGAGTCTATTGAATAAGCTGGGAGGGGATGGGAGATTAAAATGATCTGTTCAATAGCTCGTGTGAAACCTGCCTTACTGGATTAATAATATATAGATCAGAATACGTCAAGATTGAAACTAAACTCGTCAAATCTGTCAAGTTGGGATGCTGTCTGACTTTACATAGTAAAATAGTGAGGAGTTTTCAGTTTGTTTGCTTGGAAATTTAGTTGTCAAGGTGGAATTGCTGTATAATTGTGTGGGTGTCAACCTTATTTTCATTTTGAAGCAGTTTATTGGATTTGTAGCCGAATTTTGAATTTTTGCTATATTAATGTTTAAGAAATGTGAATTGTTTTATCTGTACATAGGTTAAGTTTATTAGTTGTTTAATCGTGAAATAGTGAAGTCCTTGTCA